CGGTGAATTACTGCTTAGAAGCGTTGTATACGCCCGTCATACAGGTCTCATCTGCTTGGACTGTCCCGAGACCTTCCGACATCGTGTGGTCCCTATTGGTCATACGCGCTTGCATGACAACGGAATTCACCAAAACGTCATACCGAGAAACATGCCTTGCACACCTACTAGCTATTCTGCCACCGACATCCTTCTGGTTAGTGGAAACGCCACACAGCGCATTAAACGCATTCATATTCTCTTCCAACTGTCAACACACAGTTACATCACACACTGGCCTGGTTAAACTCAAGGGGACCTATCACGCTGGGGCTCACGTACCAGTGCAGCCAATCCCAATATGCACTCGCCGCACCCGCTTCAAATGCCTGGACTATTAATGACCATTCGGCCATCGCATGGGCTCATTCGACTACGTACACGCCCACATGAATTATTGATAAAGCGCACTCTAGAACCCATAATCACGCCCTACACAACCGGTCCACTCACGCAACACTAGCCTACGCATGAACCTTTTCCACACCACCTGCCGCCACTCCTAACAATCATATTGCTTTCTGACAGCAACCATGTGATGCTTTTCGTTGTGGCTGTCCTGACCGGCGCAACTGGCTCCGATGAATTAAGCAAGTCTGCCAAAAACCTCCATTAATATCGCGAGATTCCTTATCAGTGATGCCGCAAAACGTCAGTGATTGCGAAATTGGGCTGTTAGGACACCACTTGATTAGGAGAGACCAAAAATACCGTCAGGTTAGAACTGCAGTCATGCATTTAAAGAAGACCAATGAGATTTTTGAGGCCTCGGTGGTCAGTTAGCTGGCTGTAACGGCGCGGAAGTCGCAGTCCATTTGGACCGTGATTTATCATCCAATTACCGAGGACGGATACCGACACCGATACCTGCCTGCTGGCGAACGCAAAGGAGGTCGACAATCGACCAGATATTGTTCTCCTGGATGAGATCAATGCAGCCGGTATTCAATGGAGCAGTATGCAGGCGAGGTGCTTGAAGTTTGCCTTCGATCACCGTCTTCTAAAGACAACACTTGAAGCCATCCTCACACAAGATATCCTAGTTACAACAGAATTGGGCGGAGGATAACAGGCTAATTATGCAAATTTCGTCATTACAAAAGGATCCTGACATGGTAGATGGAGTTAAGTGTCTATCAAGGAATCGAGTTCTGGAACGTCTACTTCATGGTCAATAACTTCCATCTCAGCTGCTTTCGCAGTATACTAAAGCTGAGATGACAAGACAGGATCCCCGACACGGAAGCCCCAGAACGGACTGGAATTCTAGGCATTCGCGTTATGTCAAGGCAACTACAACTTCGCTGGGTGATGTCGTCACGACTACTTGTTGAAAAAGAGGACATTTTAAAGAACGCCCTGAAACGACTGTAGATCAACCCGAAGACCTGGCCGAATCTCGCCTACAACAGGACGACATGCAGAAAAGAGGTGCAAACCGTTACAGTTATCTACGAAGCAAGTCGGGCTGCCGCCGCCAAAACCAAAGGGGAGGCTTACAAATCGCATGTGCCCTGACTCATGCATGCCAACAGCCAGTCGTTTCCTACATGTCCGCGCTGTCAACACATATTCCGCGCGTGAATCAGGCTTGTAGGTCACCTTCGGACGCGATCCCTAAATAACTCGACGACGTCAACTCCTCCTACTCTCGCACCTGCAGAAAACCCCTCGCCGACCTCCACTCCCGCCTTTGATGATGTCCGCAGTTCCATCATCTGTTACCATCACCATTGGCACCCTCACCCCCAGCGACGTGAACTCGGTTCAAATCTGTTCTCATTACGGTCACGCATTCACCTCACGCACCGGCCTGCTCGGTCAGCCGCTAATCCATCGCACGGAGACTGGCGCGCTAGTTCCTGGAGCACCAACATACACGAAACTCATTTGCTCCCACTGCCCGCATGGCCTCGCCATTCAGCCGCCGCGTAGGCCTACTAGTTCATACGCGGTGGACACCTGCGGTGACAACAGCCGGCTACGTCACACCATCACGCCTCTACCCACCTACACCTGCAACACACATCAACATCATGAATCATCACACAACAAAAACACGCAATTGGCACTTCTCATGCAAGTGGGAAATGTGCTCCTCGACACCTTCTCCATATGGCTCCTCTGCTGCATATGTGATTCGAGGCTGAGAGAATGACGGCGCGTCAAGCGCCTTGGCTTGGCAAGTTGTCAACTGGCGCCTCAACTTAGTCTACGCAGCCTTCCCAGTTGTCTGTTTGTGCGGACTGACGGACTGGTGGGCTGAGAGTGCGACAGCAAAGGTTCTTCCTTAAAGTGGCCTCTGGCACTCTCACGCGCATGGGGTGTGTGTGTGTGTGTTTATGAGAAGTGCTTCTGTGTCTGTGACTGAATGGTTACCCAGCCTTGCATGATGATTGCCTAGGCTAAGTGCAGGGCCGCGTCTCGCCCTTGTGAGTTTTGAGGGCTGTGCCCGTGTGCTTCCGAGAACCATGACCCTCACAGCCCGGTAGATGCGCCTAGGCTCCTGCTGGTATACAGGTCGCGTGCATTGTTGCCCCGTGACTTGTGTCATCTTCCTCTTTCTGGCCCATTTTGGCATTGGTTAAAGCTCTGGTCAAGTGTTTGTTTTGGAACAAGGGGTGTGGTGGTACGCCGCGGTGCAGGTCCCGGGCGTGTCAGCAACCTGCCTGCTCTTTCCCCTAAGCTTTTTTTGACTATATCTAGACACCGGGCTCAAGTGAGGGAGGAAAAGATATTGTGTTAGATTCTGTGTAAGTCTACTACTACTATTATAAATTAACTCACGCGTAATTGGTATTGATTGTTTTTTACCTTGCTGCGGAGCGCATCATCAACAACGACGGTCGGTCGGTGGTGCTTTTAAGGGAGTACGATCTACAATCCGTGCCATAAATAAAGAACAAAATGAGGCCATATTTGTGACAAGGAGACTTCTACCCAATGATAACTGAGGCATCCCGTGCAGAATATTGTATGATGGGAGTACTGGGAGGTATCCATGGAGCTTCGGTTACACGTCATGAAGAAACACTCCTCCTAAGGTCTCGAATACCAGGTAGCCTCACTCATTTACATTGGATTTAGAGAAATAGTCGGCGAGAAAGGACTATCATATATAAAGTCCTGCAGAACGAACGCAAGTACAGCCTTTCCGCAATGCAAATTCAAGAGAAAGAGTTGCAGTGCCAAATTTTGGAAAGGCGATTAAAACGCATACAAAACACCTTTCCGATTCCTCTTAAGGGAAGTGTGAGGAAAAGTACAATTAAAGCTGCGCAGTTCTTGCAGTTATTCCAGTCTGTTATCACAAGAGACGCGAGTTCATTTCAACTGGTTACAAGAACATTGGACACCAACTGCTGTAACTATTCTGTCTTAAGAAGATAGCATTTTTAACAAACTAATAAAATTGAAAGACAGTAAGTTACTGGTCTGAATGAGATACCAGTAAAACTACACTTTTAACGTCCGTGGCGGGTTACTTAGTTGTTGTCTGTTTTCTTCACGAAATCATTATACTTTACGCCCACTCGCACAAGCGACAGTCGTGCGCTTGTTAGCAATTGCAGACCACTAAATCTGTATTCGTCAGCCGCAGAGTCATCGAGCTAACGAATAATAGGTGATCATGGTTTTTCTAAGGCCTTTTATAATATGTGTGATCAGCGTCAAGTCAAGAGTAATGGGCATCAGAGACAGATGATTTCCTTGCCGGTCGATTCTAAGATGTTTATGTAGAGCAACAGCAATCGAGATGCACATCCGCACTGTGGTCCCAGAATGTCCAGTGCTGGGGTTGATCCACTCTCTATTATTCATTATTGATTGCGTGAATGAATTCGACAGTAAACGCCTTACGCTTGCGGATGATATTACGATCAGGCAATTCATCCAAGGTGCTTCGGACAAGGCGACATTTCGGGGAAAATCTTTGTCAATTGGAAAACTGGTCGCAGTAATGGCTCCTGACGTTTCGCTTAAGTGTGAGCAGGGCGATTTTATCGTACTACGACTGGTGAGCTTTTGTCAGTAGCACAAACACACACCCATCACCCTTGCCTTAATTTCACGCGCTTGTCCCGCATACTCAGGCAACGCAGGCGCCTAATCGGTCAGCAAAACACACCCTTTTGCATGTGAACTAGTCAGTAAGTTTGACCAGGTTAATAGGTCTGTGTGGCAATCTTTGTGGTTCCAAGCCTCAGCTTACTTACTCAGCGCTTTACTGAGGGAGGAGGTTTCAGTTCAGTGCAGCTGCTTACCGATGCGCGACTCGATTTCTATTGAGTGGTTTACTGTCGAGCGGTGTAGCTGACCGTCTACGGGCATTTGGGTCCTATCGTTGGTGGTTTGGAGTACACCCTACAATGAGCGGAATTTTAAAAACTTGTTTTCACAGCCAACCTCCTGACAATCCTTTAAAGTACTGACCGCATAAGAATTGTGCAAGTTTCATGCAAAAGCATTTGCTATCCCACTATCTATTAACTGGTATCTCGGCCAAGGGTGTGGAGGAAGATTTTCTGAAATTTTCGGGCTGATACTTTCCAAATAAAGCATACTCCCCTTAGCGCGGGTTAACACTGTGTTAACCACCTGCTCTCGATCCCGCCTCCGGTCTTCTTGACTCTCTTTTGACACCCGTCCGAGAAGGGGCGAGGAAGACATCCTCGGGACCTGTTGTTGGTCTGACATTTATGCTCGCATCGAAGTCAAAGCTTATTCTATATGCAATTAATTGATGCGTCCAGATGACTTGACTCCTCGGTAATATGTGTGCTGATGCTGCTACTGCTTTTGCTGCCTATTCCACCACAGATAATATAAACTCCATCTACCCTCGTTAGAATACCTGATTTGAGCCATCTAGTGTTTATTTCTACACTAGTAAATCCATGACAGCTTGTAAACGGTTCAGGCAGACGCTGTCGTCACTGTTCTCGGGGGCCCTGCCGTACCTACTTCTTCACTGAAGCACGAGGTACAGCACTTTTTGGACCAAAGTTTGAGGACTGTCCAGCTGGTGTGTAGGTACTGCCCGTCTTCAAATAGGTGGAGAGGACGTAGCCTGAAAAAAGAAAAAAAGTGATGCTAAAATTGGAATATTAATATTGAAAACAAGTGTCAACACTGGAATCCCAGTCATCGTAATTTCACTTGTCCATCTCATACAAACATTCACGTGCTGTGCACTTGCATTTTTCGAAAAGTTGTGGGGTGGTGCTGCCATTTCCTGCTCACAGTCGAGAAAAGGGGACATAATAATGACCATTTTGACTTATTTGTTATCGTCGGCCGGTGAGAAGCCAACTCCACAATACACACTCAGGGTTCCAACCCCAGTCAAGCGATTGTCAACCACTAGCTCAACTACTCTACTACCGAACTCGTAATGTTTCGGCTGAGATCGCGAACGGTTCGTCACATGAATATAGTGGGCCCTGGTCTATCCTGGTAGCGGTAATGCAGCCCGGGGTTAAGAAAGTATTGATAAATTAGAAGAGGGGAGGCATGGCCATTCCATGCCCCTTATCTCATTCGATAAATGCATTTCAGTTGATGAATACTAATCAGCATGTGACCGCATCTGAGGTTCATGGACCACCAGTTCTAAGGTAAGGTGAATATCTTCATTTATGTTCTGCAGTTAGGACAAATCGGGCGGGCTCATAGGCAAATACGGTTGCGCGGTCAAAATTCGCCAGAAAAGGGCATATTTAGATGGACAGAACTTACGTGACCTTCCTTCTTGACGAACGCTCGCTAAAAGAAGAATAAACTGCTGAGGTTCAAACGTAGACTTAATAAGTCCTTAACAATGTACTTAGCAGTCCCCGAATTCGGGGAAAGTCTTATGTCTCTTTTTAAAATGACGCATTTCAATTTGCCCGGCATGTTTGGCTGCCGCCGATATGAAATTTACGAAAAATAGGAAGCAGCAGGATTAAAACGGCGCATATAGGAAGATCAAGGAAGGGCTCTATTTCTCACGCTTCTATTCGGGGAGGCCGCCATAAGATAACCCTTTGTGCTATTCTAAGCTAAATCCTGCGCGATGATCTTCCGACTTTCAATAAAGGAAATTCGCACTCTCGCTGGAAGAACATCCAGACGCTCACGGTGGATATCTGCGTAATGTATTTTGTACGTTTATTCACTTGAATAAAGATGTCTTTGGCAAAGTATACGGGACATTTGTGCGGCCGCACCTGGAATATGCGGTACAGGCTTGGCGGCCGTGGCTTCGGAAGGATATAGATATCCTTGAAGGTGTACAACGGCGTGCTACAAAGGCTGTTCATGGCCTCAAAAACTTCACGTACGAGCAGCGCCTGACGGCCTTGAACCTCTATCCCCTCCACTACAGGCAGGACAGAGGTGACCTCATAGCAACGTTCCAGTTGGTAAAAGGACTTAATCTGGATGTCGACTGGGAAACGTTTTTTGAAATGGCACCCAAATCCAATCTCAGACGACATGATTACCAGCTTAAAAAGGAACTGTGCCACACAAATCAACGTTCCTCCTTTTTCTCACAGAGGGTCATTCGCCAATGGAACTTATTTTTATCTAATTGTTAATATCAGAAGAACCCTTGGACAGGTGTCACCTTTTATGGTTATCGCATGGAAAACTAGGTGTCATCAAAGTTAGTTATTTGGAAGTGAGAATTATTTCAGACTGGAAACATCAGTGCAATAACAACAGATACACTGACGTGAATATGCTTCTAACCTGATAATTATAAATTTCCCACACTGCTCATCACCTCTAGTTAATTATTGAAAATACACTGAAGGCACGGTTTCCAGGGTCGCCATCATAATGTAGAACTAACAGACGAGGTCGTCTACCTGTAATTCCAACACATGGATGTATCCTTGAATGTGTACAGCGGCGTGCTACAAAAGCTGGGTATTTTTGCGTACGAGCAGCGCCTGACCGCCTTGAATATCTCTCCCCTGAACTGCTAGCATGACAGAGGTAACCTTATAGCAACGTTTAAGTCTCTAAGAGAACTTTACCTGGCTGTCAACTGGAAAACTCTTTCTGAAATGACACCAAAGACTAATCTCAGACGACATGAGTGAAAGCTTCAAAAGGAACGCGACACCAATTAACGCTTTTTTTTCTCGCAGATAGGCATTCGCCAATGAAGCTATCACGGTGCGCTAAAAGCCGTTGTTTGGAAGGTTGCCAACTAACGGGATAACTTGGACCTTGCATTCGGCCCAGTATTATGTGTTTGTGCGGAGTGCTGGCTGGTGGTCTGAGAGTCAGGCTGCGGTAACTCCTTCTTAATGTGGCCTTCATGGCGCTCCCACTGCGTGGGATCCGAGACGGACGTGGGCGGCATGTCTAAATGCGATTTCGGCCGTTCCAGCCTCCACTCTCTTTGTTTTTGTTGATTAAGAACCTAATTATTTTTTGTGTGAACTAGAGCATATGGAGTGGAACGCCAAGGTGCCGGCTCGACCGTGCCATCCACCTGCGCTCTCCCGCGTCTCCGGTCTTCTTGACTGTCTTGGCACCGGGTCCATGTGGGGGAGGAGGGGGTGTGGTAGATGCTTCAGTCACCGTGCCTGCTCCCACCCTGCTGTGGAGCACACGGTGAACACTGTCGAAACCGACGGTCGAACTGTCTTGTCCCCGCGGTGGCATACTCAGTTGCCGGCAGACGTTGCACACACTGGAATGCCTACCGCCGTCCCCCCTGTTGTTGTCTCTCGTCAAATTCCCGGTGATTTGCTTTGTGGAACAGGAGGTGGGGAGGGGAGCGCCAAGGTGCGAGATCGACCGTGCCATCCACCTGCGCCCGGCCCCGCCTTCGGTCTTTTTGACCCCATCTTCATCCTTTTTAACTGTACTCGGCATAAGCATTTGCCCGTTTTTCGACATTAAAGCGGAAGGCGTTCTGTACGCTAAAAGTCTGCTTACTTTCCACTAGCTAGAAACATAGTAGGAGCTGCGCTGGGTTAGGCCACCTACCTTTGTTCTGGAGAATTTGATAATTAAACTTCCGGAGTCAATGATTCTTTAACCACTTTCAAAAGGTAGAGTAAGATCAATTATATATCATTTCCTAATCTTAGCATCGAGAATAATCCCACTGCCCGATGAGTTTTGAAAGCGGTCTGTCGTCCACTCTTTCCCCTTCCGTAGACCACTTTTGTGTTTCAAGGCATAAACTTTTGCAAAATATATCACTTTTCATGATTCGTTTAGTCGTAGTTACTTAAAATCCCATTCACTGACTGCCACTTCGAACGTACGCAAGACGCGCGATAAAGGTTTAGCACGAATAATCGACTTTTTGCGCCTTTCGCCTGCAGTTGCATTTCTAGAAACCTTTTACTAAAACCTTCGTTGGCGCATTCTCCCTCCTGTTATTTTTTTGGTTTGATTTCCAGAAATCTAGGACAGTCCAGGGCAAGTTATTGACTGTGCGGAAAAGTAACGTCGATTTTCATTATAATAGCCATCAATTCACTACATTTTCATACAAACAATGCAATTCAGCGAACAAACAAGTGACTTACGTCGGCCAATTCTTTCTCCTTGTTCAAGAAAATCCCGGAAGTGTTTGAGTAGTTTCAGACGAATATCTTTTTTCTACAGGAAAGTTGACAATGGCTAGTTTCGTTTCATATACATCGATATTTGCCAACACAAACTACTGCGATCGAAATCAGGAAATCATGCTAGACGAAAATGGAGGGATCAAACGTCGGAACTAGCCTGTGTTTGTCTGAATTCCCGAGCTTTTTTGGCAGCCGGTCATTTAGCTCATTTTAAAGAATGCATTTGTATATGCCTACTTTTTTACCCATTGAGTAGGGGCCTAACGAAGATGTCCACTAAGACTGGTGTGATTTCTCATGCTTCAAGCATATTTCTGAGTTCGCAGAACAGCTCTGCACAGAATTTGATATCGCAGTCGCCAAAATGATCAGAAGTTGCCCAAACGAAATTTTTGCAGTTAAATGACTAAATGATAACGACTGAACAGTTAGTTTCCCAAATTCTATTCCATGGTTTCCGAACAAATACGTAGGTTAGGGCTCAAGTAGGCGCAACTTACGAATAGGTCGTTCACAAGTTACCCCATCAGTGGGCTGACTCATGCTTCCAAAACACCCGGGAGACTGGTGAGGAATTCCAAATCGCGCTCACAAGACGGGATCGGTAACAAAATAAGTTCCAAGCTACCTGGGTGATGTACTGCAGATTGCATTTAAATCAAACCTCATATACCTCTATTATTCGTCCATCAATTATCCTTGTGATACTACGGACTATCTTAAACTATCCAGTGAAACCGATTTCGATTTAGATTTTCGAACTCACGTTCATTGTCCAGAGTAGAAACCACCTGTCACCCAACTCGAGAAATCCGCTGTAGAGATCAATGAGCAATCTCAGGCGTCGGAAAAGCTGGCCGTCCAGTTCGCTTCTTTGGATGTAAACAAATGGCAGATTCTCCATTCGCTGAAGGTTCAATAACACATAGAACTCAGATGTCACGTTGTCAAATGTGTGTTGATCTACAAATTCTCTTTAAAAGATTGAAACTGCATAATGAGGTAATTTAGTGTGAATGCTTAACCAGATGCTAGTCAATCTGGTGACACAGAGAAAAAAAGGAATTTGGATGCATGGCGTATACCACGGCCGGTCAATAGGCTTTTTTCTGTCAAAGTCGTCTTCATCAGTCCCTTTTTCTACACAATTAGCATTTGTGCCTCATTCTTTCTTACACTATCCTTTTCACGGCCTGATTGAGCGAATCATGACAAAGTTTAATTTTGGATATAAGATCCTACACCACTACTATTCCTTCTGAATTTCTTATCCAAATATCCTGATTCGTCTGTAACTTCTTCACCCGCGTGTTCCCTAGTCCACCTCTATTAACAGAGTCAAAGGGCTCAATGGTTTAGCAGAAGCCAGACTTTGCGAGTTCTATAATAGGACTTCTGCACAATTTCTATTACCGAGACCTTTGTTGAGAGGGTCGAATATGGAATCGACAAACAATTCTACGGGTAGTATTTTGTAAAGTTTCAAAAACAAAAATTGACGTGTATATAGAGGCCAAGACCACCTGTCAACTTCGTTTGTTGCATGTTCTGGTGAACATTGTGAACCAATGCGACTGTCTTGTATCTCACTTTTTAGTGAAGATCAGGATAAAAATCAAATTTGATTCCCTAACGCACAAACAGGTAATTTGGAGTTTTCTGTTTTTGTCTCCCTGCGCGGGATATTCTGCAGCAAACAATTTCGAATGCAAGACCGACTCTTCTTTAGCCGTGATGTCGGGACACCAGAGGTCTACAGACCCTTTCCATGCCTTCAAAGATTGCTTTAAACCTGGTTTTGAACTGGTTCTATCTTCGACGCAGGATCGACGACGACAACACTAGACTCATAGCGTGGACGTCGAAGAACTTGCTCAAGGCACCTCAGTCATCACTATTCGATGACGTCCTTTATAATCGCGATGTTGTCGCAGAAATTACGAGCCGTTTCATATACGATGAAGACCTGTATATTACTCAAGGTATGTTCTCCGGACAACGGTGTTCACGGGCATTTACAATCTAAGTTTGGATTTTAATACACGTAGCTTTGAATTCGCATCCATCTAGGGAGACCAATCTGACCACTACCCTGTGCATTCGGGTCCTTGCTGTGAGAAGGATATCACTACAGATCCCGTAGACACCTTCCAAGGTTTTTTCTTATCCTACGAGCAGTATCTTTTCTGACGAATTTGTCATCCTTACTCGATTCATTCGGGAGCAAATGGGTCCACGGACATTTGAAACCGTCCACTTTAGCACGTTGGCCGCAATGCAAATCGAGGGATTTGTAGTCATCCCAGTGTTGATGAGTAAACCGACCGATTGAGCGACCTCAATTCACCTACGGAAATACATGTTGCAGGCCGCCACTGCTTCGCGTCTGCGTAATCGAGGTTGGTCACCTGACGCTCGGGTACAAATTCGAAAATTTGGCGTTTGAGTAAAGTCAAATTACAAAGCAACACCTCATTTATATGCTCACACAGCCTCACTTGAGGAACTGCCATAACTTTAAGACATGAGGTAATTTGCATGTCCCAATTTAACCACGAATTAGAGGTGAACATCTTTTAGCACACAGGAATAATAGGTTTCCTTACCTTATATAAAACGGCGAATCCCAATATAGCACAAAAACTTCGAAGTAACTACTACTAGCATTACAATCGTTGTTTGAACTTCGGAACAGCAGATGTTTTTAGCAATGCCGGAAGCACGTGTTGGTGACAACTGATCCTGGACAGCAAGACTCAACATTCACTATTTTCGCAAAGAGAACCAATTCCGCATTGACCAACAGGTCGACTAACTGAGGAATCTTCTGGCCCAGTAAGACAACATTATAATCACACTTGAAAAGCAACATAACACGGCAAGCCAGTTCTTCAACCTGTTTTGCCAGTCGTTTTATTGTTGTTATGGTTGTTGCCACTGCCGTTGTTGCTGTTTTGCTGTCCCGATGATGGCTCTAAGTGTGAGTCAGAAACGTCGAACTAACAACATTATTTTTCGGGGGTCGTATAACTTTCTTCAAAGTACAATGTTTCATCGTTACACCAGCCCGTAGTTGATGTCGGCATGAAAACACGTTCAGCTGTACATAAGTTAGATGTGTTGGCCGTATTAGTGTTTTGTAGCGTTGCTCTTTTGTGATCGACAGGCTACAAGACATGAGTGATGTAGCAACTCACATCTGTTTGACCAAAATATCTTCGGTAAGAGAACAGGGACCCGCTTTCAACCAAAAATAAACGCCTGTGCTAATCGAACATTTAAATGTCCTCGCCCTATGCGTTTACTTACTCGGTTCAGTCTTGTCCCACCGGTCCGTCTTCGGTTCATAACCTGCATCTGGGTTATTCTGTAGAGGGAATTCTGTTTGATGAGGTAGGCTACGAAGAGGGCGTTGAAGAAGAGGATGCAAAACCAGAGAATCCAGGCCATCAACAGGGGCAGAATGGGCACTGGTGTTAGTACAAGATCATCGTCCTCAAGGATGGGATCGTAATCTGGAAGGCATTTTACCAAAATTCAGTACAGCAGAGCCAATCTTAACTAATTCAGAAAACTACTTCCAGCCTGTGGTTTTTGCCGCCCCAGGCATAACTCCAGAGAGCATTTCCGAAAAGCATGAAATGTAGGTAGTGGAAGACTTGTGATGTATTCTCCAGACGGATGTCTTAAGCGCATATAAAGTTTTTGCGGAAGCACACAGGAATACAAATCACGCCCCTCCCACCCCTTTATATTGGTGGCCTTATGCCAAATTGCAGGTATATTAGAGTTAGGTTGAAATTGAAACTGGCACTTGAATGAATTCAGTAGCACTGGAGGGATTTGGGGACTGCGACAACAAAGCCTTCAGTTAATCTTCAAAACACTGGTAGAAATTCGCATATGAGCACTTAAAATGTTAAAAGGTGAATATAGGCTGAAACACTGACTAGGAAACACTGGTTAATTGTCCTGTGTGGAAATAACAGAGGAAAGCACGTCTGCATTGAGCCACTGGCAGTATTTTTGGTAAGATGTGATTATGTAGCCGCACATGATGGACACAATACTATTGGCCTACTTAGTTAGGGGTTAGGGTTAGGAATTAGTGTTAGGGATTAAGCAATTTCTTCTCAACCACTCAAAGCACAACCGGACATTTCCAATAGCTCCTTTTCTGCATACAATTACTTGACCTCATCACATGTGCGTTTTCCGGCCCCAACTATAAAATACCCTATTATCACCTGTTCCGTATTACAGGCGGCTGGGGTTTGTTTACCTCAGGTGCGCTAGATAGCCACATCTGACCGCATTTTGTTTATAGCATGCAAAAGTCTGATATGGGATGTTGCGTCACATCAAGTAACATAGTATGCGCGAATTTGCCGGGAAATGAAGATTCGAAAATTCCCACAGTGCTTACGCATAAACATACAAAAATTAATGATTTATGATAACATCTGAGAGGGGAGATACTATGGACGCGTTCTTGTGATTGCGTAAGACATTATGGAATGACTTGATCGTTAAAATTTAGTAATCTTGAATGGAAGGTACCAGGTACCCGTTTAGGAGCTTGCTGAAAATCAATATTTACAAAACCGACCAATTTTAAAAGGTTTGTGAACTTCAGCTTGTAGATTACGTAGCAATGACCTTAAAATGAACAGTAGACTGTGCCCTTTGTGACGTCAGCAGTCTGATAAAGTAGTTTTTACTTACGTTTTCAGACTGCCGCCCAAGTAATCGCGCCTTCGTTGGCATGATAACACTGCTTCCTGTGAATTTAACAGTGATCAAACTGACGAATTTTTTTCACGATACCCTGCTTTACGACAAACTCCCATAGCAAAGTTGGCCGACTCCCGCCCGATGTCATACATTGGATTATAGTTAACTACATTAAAGAAACTGCTCACAGTTGCTGATGATCCAGCTGACCAAGTTTTTGCTTAACGCTCATAGATAAGTGATTTTTTCAATGATTCCAGCACCAGAGATTTGTGGCCTGAGTCACACTGGAACGTACGCACTCCGTTCTAAAACCAGACATGGTCGTCGCTAAAGTTGGTTTTAGACGTAAACAGCCTATTTTTAAAGTCAGACAAGGTCTTGCTTTATCTACCTTCGTTTGCCTTAGTTAGCATGCAAGCTTGTAAGCAGCAGGCTGTGATGCCTGCCGCCGCCACTTACCAAGGAGGTTTATCTCTAAAACCCGAGACGTCTCGGGTATACCGTATTCCGCATCGCCGTGGACTGTGCACTCAATCTTCTGCAATCCGAGTGGGCAGATAGAATGGAATTTCAAAATTCCGTCGTCGCGCTCAGCAGCGGGACAGTACTCTCCATAGGCATATGGCTTCAAATTCCTGACTTTATATCGGTAGTGGAGAGAATAGAAACCGATGCCGTAGCAGCGGAACTTCTCATTCACGGTTACCTTTGCACTGGAGAGATGTATTTCGGGCTCGCGAACTTCGAAAAGAAACAAAAACATGATTAGAAAGATATCGAAACCTTCAGGCCATTGGTCGATCAAACAGAACAAAAGATGCCGTAATACGTGCAGCTATTGCCGTTGCCCAGTGAATTGTGGACAGAGAAGGCATACTGATACGACCGAAGTAGTTTAGTGCTCGAAGTCCGATGCTGGCTATTTAATGCACTTCGCGTTCTGACTATAACATTAAGTTCCTAACATCATGCGGACCATCTCTCTTACAAAATTGTCGAATATTACATAGGCTGTGGTTGATTCATGGTTCCAGTTAATTTTAGTAGATGGTTATTATAAAAAAGCAGGACATATTTTCGACAGGAATGCGTTACAATGTTTTAAGAAAAATTTGAGATCACTAATTGAACTTATTGTGGGGGGAGGATTCAACGCGGTCTCGCGGTAAGCGCATGTTTAAGGCGGTGTTGCAGACAGAGAGGGCTAAGTGAGACAATTGCGAGATTTCATGCTAAGCGTTGGCTTAACAAAGCCAGTGCCTCCGCAATGTTGACAAAAAGGACCATAGAACGCAAAGGTTTTGAGTAACCCTTCGTTCTCTTCTGCAAGTACTCCCAGTCACATCAGTTTGCTTTATTTCAGAAAAGTGTTTAGCCCACAGTCACAGGGCGGGACCCTTTATTCGCAAGATATACAAGTAATCCACGACATAGTATTGGCTGCTAACTCGTTGTACTTGTTACCGTGTAATAAAAGAGCATAGTCTGCACGATAACAGAACTCAGGAATACCGCCTGCCTGGAGATTTTTGCAGGATACAGATTGTCTTGGAGTCCGTTACTAAATTAAACTCTTTTCTCACGTGCTTTAAATGTGCTTCCATAAGAAAACAACTCAGTAGTGCTTCCTCATTTGGGAATAGGAGCTTCAAATCAAAATGGTTGCTCTACTATCTCTGGCCTATGTCAACTTCTGCGCCATCTAGGAACTATGGTGAAACTGCAAAAGTCATGTTTTGACTTCGACCTTTTCCAAATGAGGAAATTAATGAACAACCAATGAGTAAATCGGAGATCTAAGTTCGAAGTCTGCCCTGTTAGGGACACTAAAGCCAACCATTTGTTGTACATTTCGTCGAACATGATGAGAATCCGAAGTCCTGTCAGTCGCACTACGCTATTGCGTGAAACTTAAAAGCAGGCGCGAGCATTTGACTAACAACTTCGCTAAGATTCCAGTTAAAGGCACTGGTCTACTATGGTCCCCACATCTTCTGAGAGAGACAGTAAAGCCCGAACTGTCCATGCCCAAAGTGCACACGGTTAGCCGACTGGCACGGAGCCGGCTGACAGTGAAGCAATCAGCGACCGCGAGACGATGGATGGTTGGGCAAAAGCTAATTACTTTGCATTCCAAGATCAGTCTTGCATTGATGGACCTACCGATAATTGGCAGGTTGTAAATCTGCCTCGCCCAGTCCTCCTCGTCTCGTACCTCGCAGCCGATCAGGTAAGAAGCCGCGTGCATTTGGTCTGGCACCTGAGCTGTCTGTTTGCCCTGCAGCCTGAACCCGTTCCATTCTGCATCTCCGGGCAGAAAAATGTTTGCGGGCTCCACGCAGCTTACCGTCTCACCTGGAGATATGCCCTCATCACTCTTGTAAATCAGATCCACATTCAGCATGTCTACAAGAGCATAATGTGTGTTGTATGGGAAGTGGTGGGTAATTTGGATCTAGCATAGATAAACCGCAGGGTTAATGCGGAAAATTGTTAGAGGTGTCGTTATGAGATAATTACCGGCCTCCGCACTCTACGGTTGCAGGGTGAAATTGTTTGTTGAGAAGACAGCTTATATTCGACAGACAAGCCGTAGGATTGATATCGCCCAATCGACAATACTCCGAGAGACGGAGGAAGAAGGAGGGTTTGCCGGAGGTGGTTGCTAACTGGGCAGGAGTATTCTGCGTGTGTGCGTACTAGCACCAAACCATTGCAAAGTATTGATTCGGGTTTTTGACAAGAAGCATTGCAGTAATATAAAACACTACCGAAAACTCTCAAGAGACGGGAGATGATTGTGCCTACTAATTGAGAGTGGACCGGAGACTTACGCGACTGTCCCCTCTTACGAGAGTTTTGGCCTCGTCAAACTTGAAGGTATGGCCGGCCTTCACCGAAAGAACCACGATCTGGGAGTTAGGATTATTTATTTTCACTGTTGCTGCATGCTCGGTCATTTGCAAAAAAAGTAATCTTCAAGTTTCTCTGGCAAAGTTGCTTTGTTCGCAGCAACGCCAGATGTAATAAACGATTTCGGATGTTTCCTGCCTTGGCGGTGGGTTTTTTGACCCTTAGCTTGGTCCCTGACAGTTGCCTCCTCTTTTGTGCGTAAGTAAATCTCTGAGTTGTGTGAGAAAGCGACAAAGCCTTCCCAGACGTTCATCGCGTAGGAAGGCGCCTGCGAAATTGGCGAACGGTGTGATTCAGTCTCGTATCGTTTGTGTATGCACCTGTTGACGAAGTTGGGTGGGTAGCCATTTTCTTGAGCAGCCTTTAACTTTATTGTGATTCTGAAACTTCTTCCTCTGGTTCAATCAGCACGCCGATATAGGCAGTTCATGGCAGTCCTCTGGAACTGATGGTCGAAAAACGTTCGATCAAGGTTTAAGCAGTTATTTTGGGCTATATAGTGACTTTGGCGATCGACTGAGTGAGACTCGGAAGTTGCATTCAGTTCTGTGGGAATTGGACCCTCAGTGGCACTTGCAAAGGTCTCAGTTTCCTTTGTGTCCATACGGTGAAATCAAGCAAAATCCCTTTTCTCTTGTTGAACCCCATCTCATTCAACTCAAGCGAGTCAAGAATACCACAAATCCCTGGAAAATTATTTTGGAATCTATACGCAGGATTTAGGCTTTTGAAAAACCGCCATATATGAAATCAAACTTGTTCTTAGACGATATTTAGAAGTAAACTTCACTGAAACACTATTATTAAAAGTTATTTTATTTGCAGTTACATATTTACTACGCTTTTGTATGAGAATGCATTCTTTATATGTAAAGACGAAGTTTACTAAACTACAGCCATTTTTGGTGTTTTCGGGATATTGCGCTTTTCTACAAAATCGGCATTTCTAAACAACGCACCACTACCTTTAATATCTCTTTTGTATTTTTAATTCTTTTAAACTTGTACTTACTTATCATAGACATCAGACTCACGAAATGGTGTCGGTTTGCGAGTGATTGACAATCATTCGCAACTTTTGACAGCTTTCGTGAGTTAGGTCACGCACTGTAGTTGCGTGTATCCACTACTCCTTACCGCGACTGCCTCCGATAATATTTAGAGTGCATATCCAAAATGTCAGGCTCATTATCTTCGTGTTTCAACGATAGAATCTTCTTCTTCTGAACTGATTCCCGATCCTCGCCTTTTTGCTTCGACCTACAAGCTTGGGGGTCACCATCTGCATCGGCGCATATTGTTTGCATACATTTACCACGCCGTACGTTATTCAGTCAATTGGGACACAGTTGACGTTCTCCAACTGACTGTGGCTTGAACGAATAAAACCTGGAACAAGGTGATTAAACGTTCGACTGAGCTTTGGGTTTGGACACTGAAATAAGTACCCGAACGCTTCGTAAAAGGCTTTGGGTTAGATTCCAGGGGCTACCCCTTCCCGTGTTCTGGCTGTGACCATGACACTGACCCTGCACCTAACGCCCCTCCTGACATTTGGTGTTAGGCTCTTTGTATTACGGAGGTGCTCATTCCCGTGGTATACAAAAGCAAGATTAACAGCGGGAATCAGCTTGCCTGCCGAAGCGGAGAAACTTACTGGTGAGCAGAACGGAGGTAGTAGCTACTCCAATTGTGATTTGTTCTCCATTAATGAGAAAATAGGCCCTGCATGACACCGAAGCGTTAATGCCAGGGAGGTAAGGAGGAATAATGCCGTAGAAACCCTAAGGATGAGCAAAAGAATGAGAAAGAACGATTTTGTAGTTTAACATTCTAAAAGAAAATGTCATTCATTAGTCCTCTGCAGGGGAAGTTAAACATGTCTTCAAGCATAGGTATTCGAATTTTATTGTAAAGGATTTGCATTGCAGGTATAATTACTTTCACAAGGGAGGACACAGTGGGACTGATTCTGCAGGTGAAACAAGCAAAACGATATGCTGCAAGAAATATTTGAGAAGAAGTGAATGCGATCTCTAGAACCATACTTTTATCCGCCCGACGTTTGTGAATCAGCCGATTATTTGTTCAACATCCTCATGTGTTACTGTCTCTGAACGTGGGTTCTAGTCTGAATCCGACACGTCTGACATCTCAACTTCTTGCTTCAGCAATAGTGTTGCCTTCTTTGGGTCTATACTGCCTGACCATTATCATTATTTTTCCTAGGAGACCCTGAGACTTTTCTCCACCTGTCATACTCCCAGTTAGCACGGCCGAATTCCGGCCAAGTTCATAATTTTATACAAACGTGATCCGTAAGTTGCCACTATCCATCGTCTTGATATTCAAAATCTAGAAACCATGGAAATTCAGCAGTGATATGTACCATGCTAAACCGCAGATTGGAGACCTTGACTCGTACATTTGTCATTCTCCTGCTTACGACAGTGTGCAAGTGTCGGTATCTGAGAAAAACAAGCAGTGAAGAAATATGCTGGACTGTCGACCCACGAAAAACGCTTGGGCAGAAAGTTGTATCCTGTAATTAATATGAAGCTATTTTATGCTCTTCGTCGTCAGGCCCTTACGGGTTTGGGACGATTCTATGTGAAATAGAGGACGCCAATGACAGAAACATCTTCCAATTGTGTAAGGGTGGTGTTTAATAAACGTTCAAAAACTTACATATCCGCTCATTGGGAATTTCGCCCCGGTACTGCTTGTGGCAGTCCATTCCATATGCACGTAATGAAGCGGATCGGCTGTGCAACGACATAGCAGAGTTGATCCTTTCGCCATGATGTTCGGGTGGGAATCCATGAAGACACGCCCCATGTCTTCGAACCATAGTGGCGAATAAAAAGAAAGTGTGATCAGGCTTGTTGGTTGACAGTGTAAACTAACTAGAATATGCCCCAATGCCAACACAGTTAAGGTAATCCAAAAAGGGGTTTTATCGCCTTAAATTTCTAGTCAAATGCTCGGCAACAGCAATAGCTCCCGTCAATAAATCCATTTACCACACACCTAACATTTGACTGGAATGAATCCATAATCAACTACTGGCTGAAAGCCACGATTAGAAATACAGGCCAGTAGAGTCCTTCGATTTCTGTGACACTGCTCTAAATCTTACTTCGCTTGTGATGCACAGATGTAGGAACAAATCAAAGGCACGGGTAGCGGCCATCTCCTATCAGGCGTAATCGGTGAAGCGATCCTGCAACGAATAGAAGCGGATGAAAATCGGAGACCCGCCTAAATGAACACAAATCGCCAACGTGTAAGCTAAACGCAAACTCGCAGCTTGCAATGCGCATTGAAGAGACTGGTCATATTTTTGACCCTCAAGGACCGACTACCTTAGGCCGAGGTAAATCATGGACCTAACGGCACCAGTTAGACGTGCTTTTCAGATGTCGATTCCACCAACAAGCACCTCGAGCTTCTTCTGGCTACCACAGTCCTGCGTCTACGGCCTGCGCAGAAACTAAGACGTGATGGTCAGAATGAATTTGAGAAAACTGACAAGACGATTTTTCACAACGAACTCGTTAGACGAAGAACTAAGCGCAATTTGTTGCATTCAGTGCTTTGACAGTTTTTTTATGACCAGCTTTCTGTAAAATCAGCAGTATTGTAAATCTGTTCCGGTGGGTCATTTCGCCCTCTCAACTTATCACTCTGAACCCCCAGTCTTTCTAACATGTTGACTTTTTGTTCACTGGAGATCTTCTATCTGCAAATCATGAGCAGCGGGCAACTTTCACAACGACGACCGGAAGCACCTTTAGCTGACTGCCCTAAATGACCTGCCCAAGTCTGCAGTATGCAGGAAGTTAAAGCACTGCAGTTGTAAGGGTGGGAAGAGAGGAACCGCGAAGCAAGGTGGGGCGATCCCGTGATAACTGTGGGATTCAGTACACCACAATTTTCTGTCTAAGTGAAGCGGCATTTCCCACAAGCGGCTGCACGGCTTTTGAATAACTGTCCTGATATATAGCTTACCGTTTGGTCATTCATCAGCGAAAAGTTTAAGCGGCCTAGAGGTGCTTCAAGAGGCCAACTAGTCACGTAAGACTGATATATAACGGATCAATTCATGGCTAAGACGTAATTCTACCTCACAAAAATCAACCATCAGCGACTTTAGTTGACTTTTCCTCATGTCTTTTCAAACAGTGAAGTTACATTCCGTCCCTCATAGGTTAACCAACACCCAGTGAATAAATTATGAAAGACTAAAATTCCTGTGCAATCGATTGGTGTTAAAGCACCGAAGCTGAACATTTCTACCACTACTGGCCACCGTGGTGATTTATACTGTCTACTTTGAAACTCATGCTATACTGGGGCATCCCTGAACATATTTTCAGATGTTTTACCAATCAAATAAACGTCTTACACCTTTAACCATAGAGCAGAATCTAAAGCAATCTCACGGACAGTGTATGGATGGTTTTCGATCGAGACAGTTTGCAGTTGCTTCAGAGTCAGTCTTCGTAGCTAGGAAATCTCAGCGTAAATGACACGTATATTTTTAAGTACTATCTAAGATCTCTATAAAAGCAGTCGTTTACTTAAACTATTTATAAAAATTTTCACATTATAGTGGTCATCAAGGAAAGTAAGACTTCTGATAGTTAGCATTCGGAAGAAACAAATGATTCTGTTTTATTGCAAAACTATTGTCTTTTTGAAACGCAAATTTTGCAAACACGTGTGTTCGGTAACTCGTAATCATGCCAAAACAGTTACATTTAAATAGGCGAAGTTAGAGGGTTTTTAAGTGATTCAGGAGTTATTAACACTCATCGTTCCTACGCCGCCTGCCTGGAGAGGCGATTTATGGCGTGGTTGGCGTGTTATGGTCATTGGGTCAAGGGGGCGAGGGGGAGATGTAACATAGACTATGAGTGATGGTTGTAAGTAGGGTACGTTGAGCACACACCACTGTCATCAGGAGGTTGGGGCGACGTGCAATCAGCATCTAAGGTCAGCGTTGGCCACAAAAGACAGAGCGCCTGTGTCAACGTCTTCCGATAACATAGCACTGGATTGGCTAGCCGTATAGCCCCTGCCTCTGCTGTAGCTAGCACCCCTTGGCGTTGGCCTCTGGAGAAGCTTGCTAGTGTCCGGTAGACACCCTGAAAGACTTCTTTGGCATCGAGTCGGTGATTTGTATCGACAAGATGTGCGGGAATAGAACTGGAAATCGATTTTTTTCACCTCTACCTAGCCAGGCCGGTATTTGTTCACGCACTCTTTTTTTCCGGCGCCTCCAAGTCACATTAATGTGCATTGTCTTTTTATCAGTTTTTAGTAGGCTTCTTTAGGCAGCCTTAAAAAGCCGGGATGTCAGGGGACGGAGACCCACCCTACCGCAGCTGTACCGTCGCACCCTGTTTGTCCATGCAGTTGGATGGAAGCTCGACGACCATCCACGCACGAGGATATCCTTGCGTTGTTATGCAGCGACCCTAATTTGGCTGCCTGTTGCAACACTGTCTCCGGCGCATACTTGCCCGTGCGCACAGGCGGCAGTCCTTCACCGGACATTCTGATATCGGACTGCCATCGCGTCTGGCCACTACTCCCCGAAACCGAGACTCTGGCTGGTGTTGGACCAGTCACAGCTATGAAAACTGACCAATCAGATTGGAGACCGACGCATACATGTCCTCGCTCCAGCTGCTCTGACACATGCTCCGGCTCCAGCAGCGCAGGATGCGCGTCTCTCATCCGGAGGCAAATTTGCACCGCATGATGTGTGTAGTGGAGCCCAGAGAGGCCGAGTTCTATCGCCAAGACCAGGAGTAAAACCTACCTTGGACTTTTTAAATACGCCCTTACTGAACCGTAACTGATATCGGTGTCTGCATGATAAAGTTATGAAACTGTAAGTATAAACTGCTAAATGAATGAAAGCGTTGATAAGCGTACCAATACAACAGCAGGTCTGCCGGACGGTAGGCAACCGAACTTCTCTTATAATTTATACGCCTGACTCAATCAGTACATTCCTGCGAAGACGATTTTGTATAAATACTTCCAAACATCAAAATAAAAGGAGGCGTTCACCGGGAGAGGTGTACTGGAGGTCTGGCGTTTCGAGTAGTCGTTTCTTCTACCCATCTTCAGAGATTGGGAAGTCATGCACACAGCTTTCCTCATATGGCGCACTTTGTTCGATGCATGGCCCGCCAATGGCGCCTGTGTTGCTGCATCCGACCCGCATGTCACCGGGACCTGGATCCCGCCCCTCTTCGTCGGCCGCGGCGATAGTTGACGGCCCCGAATGTCCCGCGTCGTAACTGTCCCCCGTCAAGAAAGTCCGTAAAACCAAACATGGTTTTCTGCCAGAACATACTACTGCTCTCCGTTTTTAATTTCGAAGACACTTAATCGTACGAGTGAATGAGTTAACCTTACTTGGGACCTTATGGATGTGCCATTATTACACCATCTCAGGTACCAGAATTTGCCTGAAAAAGTTATGAAACTGTAATTATTATCTCCTGCTACTAAAATCATTTCATCAGAATGAAGGAAAGCGTTTAGCAGCGTACCAATATAACACCGGGTCTGCCGGATCGGAGGCAGCCGAATGTTGTCTACGAAAATGTTGCAAGTCAGCGTAAAGCAGGCCCACTTTTTCGGCGAATTGCATGTCACTTGGTTGCCTTTCACGTTCAAGCGAAGTTCAGCATTGGCGTGCCGCTCCACATACAGATCGGAGAAATTCGCTGTCACATGGATCCCGTCGTGAACAAGGTTTTTCGGAGAACAGGTTTCGTTATATGGTTCGCCAAATTTGAGTATAGTACATTTTGCTTCCTGCTCAGCTGGGAGGATTTGCCATGGTTCTAAAGTAGTCAAAAATTGGATCAACGACGAATTCAAATGTTTTATTTTCCTCTTAGTAGGTATTCTCGCCTCATCAGTATTGAAAATAGCAATGACTGCCAGGCCTGATGTTTTATACCTACGCAGTCGATCTTCCGTTCGCCTGGGCGTCCCAGAGGACACTGGGAGGCGCTGTAGCTAACCGCTCTCACGTTCCTCAGTACCACCGTTTGCTTATGCCGCCGTTGGTCTGCATAGGATGGGTGCCTTAACTCCTGATCTACGGCGCCCCGATGCCGATCGATATTTCCCACTTCACCGACCGGTTCTACGTATTTTAGCTGACACTTGCCTAGTGAGAACGCCAGCTCCAAAAACTGTCTTCACTACTCTTTTCGGCCTGCTCGAACTCATGCGCATGCCCTTTGGCAACCACATTGCAACCTAGACGCCGGTTTGGCGACCACGTCATACATGGTCTGCTATTTGTGTACGCCTGCATAGATGATATTTTGGTGACTAGTCAGAATGCTGAAGAACACAAGGATCATCTCGTCTTGATTTTTGACCGTCTCGGTGTGTACGGCATCAACATCAACTCATCCAAGAACGTTTTCGGCTGACTTATCTCGAATCCCTTAGCCACCGCGGTACCTCTGAAGGTTTACGTTCTCCACTCTCCCAGGTTGAAATAATTTGTGACTTCCCTCTACCGACCACCAGCCGTCAGTTTCGACGTTTACTTGGTATGGTAAACTTTTACCGCCGGTCCCTACTGAACTGTGCTGGCCTCATGTTACCGCTAATCAACATGCTTTCTTTTCTTAAGAATCACCTGGGGCACACAGATGAACCATTGACGTTTTTTGAGGGAATCACGGTTCTCCTGGCGAACGCTACCTTGCCGACGAATCCCGCTTCCAAAGCTTCTTTGTCACTGATAGTCGGCAATTTGACTGTAGCCCTAGGCACCGTCTTTCAACGGCGTCTTGCTGGCATGACCCGATAATAAGCCTTCATTTAGAAGAAAGTTTCGCCCACTGAGATGTGCTAGAGTATGTTTGGCGGTGAACTGTCCACCATCTTCTTGGCCAGGAAGCGTTTCCAACACTTCCACGGATATTGTGACTTTTCCACTACCACGAATTTTAAGCCGCGGAAGCTCGCGTCCGATTCCCCACCGACATCAGCTACACTGACTGCAAGTCAATCAGTCTTTGGGTCATCAATTTGCTGTCCCTTCTGGGGTAACTGTCCGAGTCTGCCCGGTACGAGTTCTCTCTGTTCTAGGCCCTCCTCAACAGCCTACCATCCATCAGATGGCGGCGTGGTCGAACATTCCCAACGTCTACTAAGATCCGCTCTGCGTGTCCCAGAGGCCACAGCAAACTGGTCCGACTGTCTGCGCCTTGTACTGGACATTCCCGCGACAATGAGGTCGGGTCTGGCCTGCAGCGCAATCCACTTGGTTTTTGGCACTACTCTCCAACTGCCAGGCAAGATGGTTGCTCCATCTTTTCACGGTGGAGACGTTGGTCCTGATGATCTTCTGCAACCGGCCGTGTCAATTTATGCGCCTGCTTCCCCTGTTCGTTCTCGACCTCCGCTGACCGAATGCTATGGCGTAAAAGGTCTTGCCAATAAGAGTCAAGTGCCCTTTCGATTTGACCGTGTGCGCAACCTGTTGGAATCGCCATATGAATGACCCTTCTGGACACCCACGACCTGCCGGATCTTTCACAGTGACATGGCGGATGTGGTTATCATCGACCGGGTCAGAATTGCTATTTCAGACGAACCGCTTGGTCTGCAACAATAACAAATGCCCCCAGATCGTAGTTGCAAAAGCCTTTCCTACTTCCGGCGCTCACCCCTTTCCCCACACTTTCACGCTCCATCGCATCTGTTTCCTGACCCGTCGTGTTCTCTACCCCCAACTGTAACCTCATCCACATTCTCATCCCCAAAATCTTTTGCTGCAAAAGACGCATTGTACTCTTATTCTTTTTCCTCCCGATAGTACCACATGCAGTGGACAGCGCGTTCATTTCTATTACGGCTTTAGGCGGGCTGAGACCCTTTCAAAACCCCATTGCTCTGCTTCGAATCCCTTCTCAACCAAAAAGGTCATCTGTGTTTTCACATCCCATGCGCGAACCGAGGAGGTCCTCATAAAATTCGACGAGTAATTCTCTAATAATATGCACGACAGGTCTTTTGTTTGCAAACTAGACACCGATCGGCTGTCTTCCGCCCTGATACACTGAGTAACGTGCGTCAAATATCATGCAATATAACACTAAGACGTAGATGATAACAGTCAATTCCTTCAACTTATGCAAGAATGTCACTGTGAAGTGCCGAAGAGGTACAACAGGCACCTACCATAGACTTTGAAGTTGAACTCCTTAGTAATCGAGAGGTTGTGGTGATGGTATCTGCATTGAAAGGTCGCCTGATTTTTTGGGGGTGCTTTCGAGAATGACAGCAGGTTACCCTATACAAAGTACAAATAAAGGTGTCTGCTGAATGTACGGGCACCTAAGAAGAGGTGAAACGTTGGATGTGCTACTGCATCTTTGACGAGCACCTGTCAAACGTTCATACGGCTGTAACCGACTGACGCGAGTCCATGCATATCACTCCCCCTGTCCATTCACTTCTTCAAAATTTTACAGCTTCAAAAAATCTCAAACAAAGTATCCTGGGCTCCATAACTGCTGTCAATATTTTCATTTTGTAACAGCAAACTACCTACGTAAGGAAAGTAGTTACAACAAGTCCAGTCGTGGAATGACAACAGGTTACCCATTAAGGCAATCGGCAGAATGGGATAGTCTATAGATAACATGGCCTTACGGCGGAAGCATAAAGCGTTTCACGTATTCTTGAATGTTAGAAACACGTAGGCTGGCGAACCAATGTTATCAGTAAGCTGCTGGAATGAAGAGGTTTGTGGTGGTGGCTGAGAGACTGCGAGAGTGAGGGACAGTATGATGGGTTTCGCTTCCTGACGACTGGCCGTCGTTTGGTAGTGCGTTCTCGTGTATAACTTACTCTTTTAACGACACTTGGTTATTTAGGTTGCCCGATACTGAACAGAATACGAAGGTTTCCGTCTCCTAGTTCTGCCTCTGAGCAATACCAGCAAAGACCGTTCGATCATGGTGTTCCCAATTCCTATTCTAGGACTGCGGTAAGCTGCACTCGGACCAACAGTCGCAATTGATTCTAAATGAATGGACGCCTGGCTGTTACGGCGCAAGATTGATCTCCAAAGTGTACAGAGTTTGGGAAAGGGCTCCGGAATATGGTCGTCAAAATCTCCCTTAACTACGACCGTTTCAAATTATATCTACACCTTATTCCTTTCGTTCGGTTTGGTGGAGCGTGGCATTCTACTCGCTTTTGATTGTTGGCAGTCTCGTCCTTTATCCGCGAAGAATGAGCGGCCCGTTTCCAAAGAATGCAGTTCTTCAGTATTATCTCAATAAAGCCTGTAATCGGACGCCCAGCATACCGTTGACACGACCTCAGCTTCTAAATGCACGCTGCAAATGAATATCTTGTGACCGAGCTGACTATGGTTATACAGGTGCTGCAAAAAATGTGCGTTCTTATTTCAAGACTGTCAATTTCAGTTCATGGATACTATGGGTTCGACACTTGAGCGCGCTTGTTCAAAGTCGGTTGGCACTATAGTTGGCAATCAAAAAATCCTGGGACCCACTTAAGGAGTAGCATCCGACCATCAGTGAGTAGTTTTGGTTATCATTGGACGTATTAGTTCTTCGTAGAGAAGTTTGTCTCCCTCTGTGGTGTTAGAAGGCTCAAATTCAATTTCCGATTCTACGATGTAACCGTATTGTTTAGTTGCCTAGTCGACGAAGGCCGAAAACAACAATGATCAGAGCAACGAGTCTTGTGAAACCTTCTGTCTTGAAGTCACCTTCCTAACTAGAGCTCAGTTTAACACGACGTAACAGATCCCATCGGACAGTTTGAAATCAGTATAACTAAAAATACGTCACGATAAACCCCTGAGGTCATTTGATAAGGCAAGACAGATCTCGGATAGCACTCCAGTCGAGAGCCAAATCCAATAACGCAAGTATTGTGCTCTGTGCGAGTTTGCTCCGCATGCGAATAAGGAAAGACTGTCAGACAGGGAACAGGGATAACCATTTCCGGTGTTTTGCTCGTCACAAGCCAATGATATTTTAACCACCGGCTACACAGTCCGGTTCAAATCCAAGTTACTTAACCACCGCACGACGTCACAACTACTGCTCTACGGAATCACGTCACGTAGGACGAAATTAGTTACATATATCCAATGAAGTGAACGATCACCCGGATTAGACAACGAGAATTGACATTTCCTTCTTGCCTTCGAAGGCGTTCTCCGAACTTTCCACAGGCGATTACGTAGGCCTGTTAAAAGTATCAGTCGGACACTCTGACATGATCATTCTCTGATATATTTGCCGACACCAGTCGCTGATACATCAGTCTAAATATCAGCACCTGACTTTCGTAATAAACTAACAATGGGGAGGGATGACGTGGCCTTGGTGTGTAGCTTTGGTTTTGGCTGACAGTTTGTAAGGACTATCAGATAAGCCAGAACTTTTCATTAATGTCTCACTTTTTATGTATTGGTCATTTCCCCGCCCACTTTCTGCGAGATAGAACGGAAATAATTGTCAATTCCGTTCAGAAATCAGCACATACCAGGACAATATACTCTCATATAATATGAGATTGCTGAACTTCGCTGATCGAAACCGACTGCTTGTCACCAACGCATGTTTCCAGCATCGAAAAAAACATCTGCTGACCTGGTATTCAAACGATGGTCATACGGCCAGTCAGATTGACTACATACTAGTCAGCTCAAGGTTCCGCAGCTGGGTTCACGATAGCAGATCGATGCGGGGTGCCGAGACTGGTAACGCCCATGGGTCGGACCATGTCCTTGTCCGTACGTGCTTGAAAGTTCATCTCCCATCCGCGCCAAATATATCACGCCCTAGACGCCTCGATGTCACAAAAATCCGGCAAGCCAGCACTGCTGAAGTCCTAAGCAGAGATATCCGGACCTGTTTTACGACCCGAGCCGACGGAGAAGTCAGTAACCAGTGGTCGTCACTGAAGACTTCAGTCTATGGGGCAGCTGAGAAAATCCTTGGATACACCCAGCGACGCCGCAGTGACTGGATCAGCGGAAGAATCTTGCAGTTGTCTTCTCAGACGACTTGAGCCAGGTCCCGCAACGATGACTGCTTTCGTCAACTTCGGAAGATGACGGCAAAATCGGCCAGGGATGACCGGAAGCAATATTGGGCTGAAATAGCGACTTCCATGGGACAGACCTCGAACGTTGGTGACACTCGAAAGCTCTACCGTCTGGTCCGCCAAGTTAGCGGTAAGCCCTCTACACTAAGTAACTCTGTTCCCGATGTAAACGGCGGCTTTATTGCTGACAACTCGGCCAAAGTCGAGCGCTGGCGTGAGCACTTTGAGCACCATCTCAACTTCGATACCCAACCTACATCGCCCTTGCTCTCCTCTTCAGTGGAGTTTCTTCCCTCTTCTACCTATGCAGTGCCATGCTATCCCCCCTCTGAAGGAGAAGTCGCCGATGCCATACGAAAGTTGCGCAACAATAAGGCACTCGGAGAGGACGGTATAGCCGCTGAAATCTTCAAGTCTGTGTCGATACTCTGGCGCTCTGGCTCCATGAGGTGATTGAACGAGCGTGGAGAGACGAGGTTTTTCCCGATAACTGGGGCTAAGGCATCCCTGTACCTATCCTCAAGAAGGGAGATAAAACGAGATGCGAGAACTACCGCGGCATAAGTCTCATCGACGTTGCTGCGAACATCTTTGCTATTGTCCTACTCAGGCGATTCCAGGCTGTGCGTGGCTCAAGGACTAGGCCCATCCAAGCCGGATTTCGTGCTGGACGTGGATGCGCAGACCAGATATTCACACTGAGGCGCATTCTCAAATTTCGCCATATCTACCAACAACTGACGGCCGTCTGCTTCATTGACTTTGCCGCCGCGTTCGATTCCGTTCACCGCGTGTCCCTGTGGCGGATAATGGCGCTAGATGGTGTACCGGCAAAAATCACCGCCATAATCAAGGCCTACTATCGCCCCACTACTGCGAGAGTCCTGGTCCGCAACAATTTTTCCCAACCGTTCGGTATTCGGTCTGGCGTCCGACAGGATTGTATCCCGTCACCCATTTTGCTCAACAATGCTACTGACTGGATCCTCGGGAGGGTCCTACCCGAGAGTGACGGCGTTGAGTTTGCACCCGGCATCGACTGACTGATCTCGACTATGCCGATGATATCGCCTTACTTGCTTCAAGTTTTGGTGATCTGCATTCTATGGTGTCACGGGTGAACGAGGTCGCTACATCGGTCGGTCTATCCATAAACGCTTGAAAGGCCAAGGTGCTTTCAAGCTGCATCCCTGACCAAGAGAAGGCAGCCCTCGGGATTGATCGCCGTCAGCTGGAAGAAGTAGACAGTTTTAAATACCTGGGGGCGAGGCTGCTGCCTAATCGACAGAGTAAGGACGACATTGTTTCTCGAATCGATACTGCCCACTGGGTTTTCTCAAGCCTTCGGAAATGCCTATGGATCCAACGCGACCTCTCCATCGCCACTAAGATTCGCGTGTACCGTGCATCTGTCCGGTCTGTCCATCATTACGGTTGTGAATGCTGGGCTGTGCGCGTGAAGGACGAAAACTGGAGGCATTTGACCACCACTGCTTGAGGACCATCCTTCGAGCGAAGTTCACCGACTTCGTCTCAAATGAGGCAGTCCGCGCTCGCTGCGACAAGATCTCAAGGATAACTCGGGCCATCCAAGAAAGACGACTGAGGTGGTTCGGGCATGTTCTTCGTCGTCCATCTCAGGAGCTCAGTGTAACTGCCCTCGATCTGGCACCGCTGCCCAATTGGAGGCGTCGAAGAGGGGATCAGTTCAAAACTGGCTCGACACAGTTCGTCAAGACATGGAAGTGGTTTTTGGACCTTCAGTACTCGGTCTACGTCGTTGACGAAGGGAATGGGTTGAGCTGTCCAGATCTTCTGCCGCAGATCGTCACGCGTGGAGAGGTACAGTTCGGGACATCCTCGAGGCCGGCTAGATCAGGCATGATCGCAGCCGTATCAAGTACAAGTACAATAATAACATGACATCCTCCTGAGATTCGAGTAAATCGATCGTGCCCGCGGGTTTTTACACCCACGACCTACATCGTTATGTTTCTTGAAGAATTCTATAACTCTTCCTTCTGACTCAGCCATTGCGGGACATGTTACCACAAATGAGGCATTCGAAAAATAAGAGTGCCATCCCGCTTTGCCCTCTGGTAACCTTGATAGCTTCCGACTGATGTGGCGCTTGCGTTAGCATCGCTTTTCATTGCCCTAAAGGACGTGCTATGTAATGACTCCTTGTACGAGATTCTGTTGCAACATTTTCCAGCAGTCACACGACCTGTAATGCAGCGCACAGTTTAGTCAGTAGTATACAATCCCCTTTAATTATAGGGCCTTTGGAAATTGTTAATAATATTATAAATGCCACTTTGTTTGAAGTCCCACTAGTCCATAATGGCAACGGACAGCAAGTCTGAATGATTTCCGCTTCAATTCGGCAAAATTGTCCAGTCCAGTCAGAACTCCGGCAAATGCGAATCTTAAAACCTGTCGTACGAGGACCTTGGGTGACGCAAGAAATACACTGCAAACAGCTGCAACGTTTACTGGCTGGCCCAATTTTGAGTCGGGATCCGGTCTAAAACCATCGCACATCGATACATAACCATAAATAGTTAGTCACCCTGGAGCATTGGGAAGAGTGACAAAGGAGACTAGAACCTTAGTCTTTTCATTTCCACAAAAATTAACTTGTGGACCACAAGCTAAATCACTGAGTCAAAACATTTCACGTTCGCCATAGTTTAGCCTGACTCCATCATTTGCAGTGTCATTACTGCACGACGTTCATAAGTTGTCAAGGGGTAATCAGTGATATAGAAGAGCACATTGAAAGTGACTCATCATGCTCCCAGTACAGCTGTTGGCCAAAGCCCAGACACGTGCTTCGCCAATTTTTGTCCCGAGAACTGAAATTAAATAAACGGGCTTACCTGTATCTCTGCGTCGGGATAGGCACTATTCCTGATCCATTTTGGCAAAAGTGGGTAGGGCACCAGAAGACTCTTTTCTGAATAAGTGACGCACTCCGCGGGCTTTCCAAATCCAATAACTACCACTTCAGTCCCCTTGTCGGCCAGCATCAGCTCCGGTATTGCTTCAGTTTAGGCGCAGGGTTTGGAAGAAGTACAAAAATTCAAATAGCATCGATGACAGATATGCTATGGCAAATATCTCTGACTACAATACCTCTTCCCCAAAACCCTCAAAATCGGTCCTCAGTTTCATCAAAAAGCTAGGAACAATCATCAAAACGAGTTGGTTAGGCTGCGAATTAACTGTTTAGTTTGGAGTTGCTTCGCTTTGGCTAGGAGTATGACAATCTTTGGGATTGCGGTCGTTAACCTGTCCACAATAGTTGCTATATGTGCGCGTGTGTGTGTGTAATGCATGATACATGCATATCTACTCGGTCCCCATGCGGCTTCGGCTGCACAGTCGACTTGATTCTGAAACTATTCTGACACGTCAAACGTCATGGATAAGAAGGCTGCTGATTGACGCCCCCACTCGGTCCACGCAGTCCGTCCCGTTGTGTGCGTGTGGAGTGACGGACTGGTGGGCTGGGCGACGGGGTGAAACAGCACCTTCCACGGCCCTCTCACGCAAGTGAGTGCTCCGCCGTTCAACTCCCGTTGAGCGAAATCCTGGTGTATGTGTGAGTCTAGGGGGCCAGGTCATGCATGTGGCGACTAGAATCTGGTCGCAGCCGCTTCCCAAAACATCAGTACACCATAAATGGGATTCCACTAAAAGAAGTGGACAAGCACAAAGACTTAGGTATCTGGACATGCTCGACTTTGCTGCCCTCTCTGCACTGCACAAGAGTCGTCCAAAAGGCAACCAGCATCATGCACTGGATTAGGCATGCCTTCAAAATCTTTCCTCCAGAACTCTTCTCACAGATATTCGGCACGTTCTTCAGACCGCACTTGGAATACGGAATGCCATCATGGATGCCCTGGATGAAAAAAGACAATGATGCCATGGAGTAGGTGCAACGATGGGCCACAAAATTGGTGGACGGTCTCAGGACTCTGTCATACGCAGAAAGACTGATCCAGTTAAATTTGTTCCCCCTATCCTATCGACGAATGAGATTTGACCTGTTATGGACATTCCGCATTATCCACGGGCATAAATGTTCGCTCAAAACTGACGACTGCTTTGAATTCCCGACCACGAGTCACCTGCGCGGTCACTCGTACAAAGTCAAGCGGTAGCGTACACACCTTGACTATCGGAAGTTTTCCTTCAGTCAGCGTGTTGTTCGACCGTGGAACTCACTCCCAAGTGAAATAGTGACATCTGATACAATGGCTGTAATCAAAAGGCAGCTGGATCGTTTGATCTTTGATAAACGACGACTCTCATTGCAGGACTATCTGCGACCAGCCATAAATTTCATTTCCTGATTTCATCCCTACTTAACACATCCCCGACTTTTAATGAAATTTCTTCTCTCATACTATGCAAATGACTGCACTTTATGCTGATTGTATCTAACTGCACTTAAAATTTCATATGTACACTGAAAAGACCGCCTGCCGCACCCTTCACAGTCCCGCGCTGTGAAAACGTTTTCCGTGAACAAATATGCTACTGACATCATTTTAGTAAAGTGTGCATTTAACATTTAAATTTTATGTACCGTTTTCAATGGGGTCCTCAATGGCATTGCCGATTACCCCTAAAATACACTATTAATATAACACCCGCTGTGTAAAATCCTGGTGTTTGTGTGTATGGGGGGCCAGTTCGTGCTGTGGCGCGCGCAGGCATGGTCAGTCGACCGTGTCAGCCCCCGCGCCCATTTCCCACTCCAGTCTGCTGACCGGCTCGGACGGCGGCTGGGGTGTGGGAATGGGAAGGGAGAGTGAGGTCGACGACTCAGCGCACTTTCCTCACTATAAACAATCTGACGCGCTTGAAGCTATTATGGTGCGCTAAAAGCCGTGGCATGGAAGGTTTCCAACTGACAAGATAACTTGGACCTGCTTGACTGGAGGTCTGAGAGTCAGGTCGCAATGGCTCCTTCTTTATTTGGCCTTTATGGCATTCCCACTGTGTGGGATCCGAGCCAGGCGTTGGCGGCGCGTCTAGGTGCGGCTGCATCGGCCGTGCCAGCCTCCAATCTCTGTTGTCTTGGTGAAAAACCTAGTTATTTGTAGTGTGGACCAGTGGATGTGGAGTAGAACGCCCAGGAAAGAGCTCGACCGTGCCATCAACCTCGCCCTCCCCACCTCCAGTCTTCTTTACTCTGTCTTGACACCATGCTTAGTCGTCGTCTCATCCGACGATGCTCACCGTGTGCTCCACAGGAAGGTGAAGCAGGCGCAGTGACTTGTGCGTGAATTAAGTTACAGTGATGGTAAACTTGCGCAGCATCTACCAAACGCCCTGCTCATCCACAAGGGTCCGATATCAAGATAGAGTCCGAAAAACTGGAGGTGAGGAAGGCACACGTGAATGGAGCGACCGAGCCCGTAACTCGGCGCTCCATCCCACAAACCTTGGTCCACAAAAGACAATCGATCAGGATTTTGGCCAACAAAAAGAACAACAACAGAAAGGAAGTGAATGACTGGACACGACCTGTATACCCAGCGGGAGTGCTAGCGCATCTATCGCCAGCGAACCAGGTACCTGAGTACTGCCAACGCATACGATGCTGCGAGAACCATTGTTTGCTGGTTCCACATGCACATAAAACAGAGTTTGAACGTTGATTTCAACGGCGTCCACTGCATGCTTCACAGCAGGGTGAGAGCAGGGACGGTGACTTTAGCGTGCTTGTGCTGCATCTAACGCATCCTCTTCTCCCTCACACACCTGGGCCACGTGTTAAAAACGTGGCAAGCGGACAAGATGCTGGATTGAACGCACTGGTTTGCAGAGCTAAACAGGCCGTCTGCGCATGCCACGGTGGGTCAAGTATTGGCACAAGCAAAAAATGGGAGGCTCGAATCACAAATGGGCGAAAGTCCCATGCAGATCGCATCAAGATGGAGCCATTGCAGTCTGACTGAAACGAAGACCGGGATATCCCGTCAGTATGGCAATCTGCCAAGCCATGGGTTTTAGCGCATCGTGATAGTTAAAAGGCGCCTCAGATGGTTTATAGCGCGGAATATGCCCTGAATTCCAAGAGGACGCAGTCCCCACGGTAGAACTCGA